GGGAGGAGAGAGGGTTTGGTGCATGAGAGGCAGGCGAGGCCAGGCTGCAGCAGCAGCAGGGCGCACAGAAGGAGCTCCTGAAAGAGCCGACATAGGAGTGTACATACATGGGTCCAACACAGTGGGGACAACGGTGACAGTGACATAATTCCCAGCTGCTGTTGGGATGATGACTCGTAGGAACAATGCACACTGTACATTACTATGATATGTTCATAGCTTTGCATTGCACGAGGAGTACATATTTATTTCAATGGAAGCAGTGCAGCTTGTTAGGAAGATTGCAGCACCGCAGTAGAGCACAGGATCATTACTTGTAACCAGTTTTTTTGAGTGAAAGGGGTTCATAATATGCTTGCATGGAAGGATGATCCTGTGTTGTTTTTTGTTCTAAGGAATCATTATAATTGAGAACCTCAGCTGGGGCAGCATGCAGCAGAGATTGAACTAGAGCATCTCAGAGTAAAATGTAGTGTACATACTGGTAGTAGATATGTAGCATGATAATGGAACAACTCCAAGTATTTTCTGGGAATATTGTAGACTACGTATTAAACATGATGCACTAGGAACCCCACAGCGTGCCTGCATGGGGTTACATTACATGGTTACCTGTGTGGATGGGTATATGGGTACATGTGTGCATCGCTGCATTGGTACACGCGCGCATGGATGTACGGGTAGATGTGTGGATAGGTATGCGGATACATGGGTGCGTGGGTCCATGTCTGGATGGATGCCTGGCTACATGTGCGCATGTGCACATTGGTATATGGGTGGATGGGTGTATGGGTGTATTATTGCATACGTTTGTGGGTACGGGTGCATGGGTGCCTAGGTATGTGGGTTCATTGGTGAATCGGTATGTAGGTGCAGGGGTATGTTGGTACATGGGTATGTGATTGCATGGGAATGGGTGCATGTGCATGTCGGTGCATAAGTGTATGGGTGCATGGGTGGGTACATGGTCATGGTTGCATGTATATGGGTGCATGGGTACATGAGTGTATGGGTGCATGGGTACATGAGTTCATGGGTGTGTTAGTGTGTGGGTTCATGGGTGGATGGATCTTGGGAACGTGAGCGATGCGTACACAGCTTGGTGTTGAATGAATCTTGCATCAAGCATGTTCTACTTGCTAATAAAACAACTCCCAGATGCTGTAGAATAAACATGATGACACTTAAAACCCACCCGTGCCTACATGCCTGCATGGGGGAACATGAGTACCTGAAGAGGCTAGAGAAAGGATGCAGAAGCATGAACTGAGAGAAGGTAAGGGTGAGTGATGGAAGGCAATGGGATGGAGGTGGAAACAGAAAGGGGCAATGGGAGCAGCAAGGGGTGATGGGAGCAGCAAGGGGTGATGGGAGCAGCAAGGGGTGATGGGAGCAGCAAGGGGTGATGGGAGCAGCAAGGGGTGATGGGAGCAGCAAGGGGTGATGGGAGCAGCAAGGGGTGATGGGAGCAGCAAGGGGTGATGGGAGCAGCAAGGGGTGATGGGAGCAGCAAGGGGTGATGGGAGCAGCAAGGGGTGATGGGAGCAGCAAGGGGTGATGGGAGCAGCAAGGGGTGATGGGAGCAGCAAGGGGTGATGGGAGCAGCAAGGGGTGATGGGAGCAGCAAGGGGTGATGGGAGCAGCAAGGGGTGATGGGAGCAGCAAGGGGTGATGGGAGCAGCAAGGGGTGATGGGAGCAGCAAGGGGTGATGGGAGCAGCAAGGGGTGATGGGAGCAGCAAGGGGTGATGGGAGCAGCAAGGGGTGATGGGAGCAGCAAGGGGTGATGGGAGCAGCAAGGGGTGATGGGAGCAGCAAGGGGTGATGGGAGCAGCAAGGGGTGATGGGAGCAGCAAGGGGTGATGGGAGCAGCAAGGGGTGATGGGAGCAGCAAGGGGTGATGGGAGCAGCAAGGGGTGATGGGAGCAGCAAGGGGTGATGGGAGCAGCAAGGGGTGATGGGAGCAGCAAGGGGTGATGGGAGCAGCAAGGGGTGATGGGAGCAGCAAGGGGTGATGGGAGCAGCAAGGGGTGATGGGAGCAGCAAGGGGTGATGGGAGCAGCAAGGGGTGATGGGAGCAGCAAGGGGTGATGGGAGCAGCAAGGGGTGATGGGAGCAGCAAGGGGTGATGGGAGCAGCAAGGGGTGATGGGAGCAGCAAGGGGTGATGGGAGCAGCAAGGGGTGATGGGAGCAGCAAGGGGTGATGGGAGCAGCAAGGGGTGATGGGAGCAGCAAGGGGTGATGGGAGCAGCAAGGGGTGATGGGAGCAGCAAGGGGTGATGGGAGCAGCAAGGGGTGATGGGAGCAGCAAGGGGTGATGGGAGCAGCAAGGGGTGATGGAAGCAGCAAGGGGTGATGGGAGCAGCAAGGGGTGATGGGAGCAGCAAGGGGTGATGGGAGCAGCAAGGGGTGATGGGAGCAGCAAGGGGTGATGGGAGCAGCAAGGGGTGATGGAAGCAGCAAGGGGTGATGGGAGCAGCAAGGGGTGATGGGAGCAGCAAGGGGTGATGGGAGCAGCAAGGGGTGATGGGAGCAGCAAGGGGTGATGGGAGCAGCAAGGGGTGATGGGAGCAGCAAGGGGTGATGGGAGCAGCAAGGGGTGATGGGAGCAGCAAGGGGTGATGGAAGCAGCAAGGGGTGATGGGAGCAGCAAGGGGTGATGGGAGCAGCAAGGGGTGATGGAAGCAGCAAGGGGTGATGGGAGCAGCAAGGGGTGATGGGAGCAGCAAGGGGTGATGGGAGCAGCAAGGGGTGATGGGAGCAGCAAGGGGTGATGGGAGCAGCAAGGGGTGATGGGAGCAGCAAGGGGTGATGGGAGCAGCAAGGGGTGATGGAAGCAGCAAGGGGTGATGGGAGCAGCAAGGGGTGATGGGAGCAGCAAGGGGTGATGGGAGCAGCAAGGGGTGATGGGAGCAGCAAGGGGTGATGGGAGCAGCAAGGGGTGATGGAAGCAGCAAGGGGTGATGGGAGCAGCAAGGGGTGATGGGAGCAGCAAGGGGTGATGGGAGCAGCAAGGGGTGATGGGAGCAGCAAGGGGTGATGGGAGCAGCAAGGGGTGATGGGAGCAGCAAGGGGTGATGGGAGCAGCAAGGGGTGATGGAAGCAGCAAGGGGTGATGGGAGCAGCAAGGGGTGATGGGAGCAGCAAGGGGTGATGGAAGCAGCAAGGGGTGATGGGAGCAGCAAGGGGTGATGGGAGCAGCAAGGGGTGATGGGAGCAGCAAGGGGTGATGGGAGCAGCAAGGGGTGATGGGAGCAGCAAGGGGTGATGGGAGCAGCAAGGGGTGATGGGAGCAGCAAGGGGTGATGGGAGCAGCAAGGGGTGATGGAAGCAGCAAGGGGTGATGGGAGCAGCAAGGGGTGATGGGAGCAGCAAGGGGTGATGGGAGCAGCAAGGGGTGATGGGAGCAGCAAGGGGTGATGGGAGCAGCAAGGGGTGATGGGAGCAGCAAGAGCGCACATAGTCACGCATTATAAGTTGCCAGGATGGCATGGACGGGTGGGTCCCCAGGGATTAAACTCACACAACGCCTCTGATTCAAAGACACACAGGCAGATTTCAGTAGAAACGAGAGTTGCCTTGGTTCGGGACTCACTACGCCTCCTAGACAACCTTTGAGGTGCCTCAGAAATACTACGCCTCCTGGAACAACAGCCCACCACCTGAGCACACTCCTGGGCAGCCATGGCATCCTACAGGTGCATGGGCGGGCGGGTCCCTTGATGTTGCCGCCCTGTGCCGCACCTCTCTTTGGGTCCCTTGATGTTGCCGCGCCGCTCTGTGGGGCAGTGTGCGGCAAAGGCATGGGGATAGCGAGTGGGAGTGTGGAACAGGATGCTGCCACCGTGTGGGATAAGGTGTGAGATGGAAGGCATGGGTGTCTAGACAGATCGTATTGGTCCATGAAGTTGGTTTAATGGGCTCCGATGGTGCCTGAGAGTGATATGGCATGAAGTCGGTTGGGTGATGGAATGGGATGGTATGTAAGTTACATGGGATGAAATGGGCTGTGTGATGGCATGGCCTCATGGGGTCTGTGATTGAGGTGCTATGTAATGGCATGTGTAATGGTATGGGGTGGTGTGTGAGTGACATGAGATGAATTGGTGTGTTACGGATGGTGTGTGAATATTATGGCATGAGATGTGATGTATGATTGCAAGTATGGGATGATGTGTGAGTGAGACGGCTTGATGTAGGATAGTATGGGATGGTGCATGAGAGTGAGATGGCATGAAATCGGCTTTGTGAGGGTATGGGATGGTGAGTCATTGAGATGGGAGGAGATGGGCCGTATGATTGCGCATGATGGACTGTGTGGGTGAGATGGCATTTAATTGGCTAGGTGATTGTATGGGATGGTGAGGGAGTGAGATGGTACGGACAGGCATGTGTGATGGCATGGGGTGGTGTATGGGTGAGATGTATTAGAAGGGCTGTGTGATGGCATGGGGCGTGTGACTGAGATGCCATGAATCATCTGAGTGAAGGTGTGGAATGGTGTGCGAGTGAGATGGGATGAAATGGGCTGCATGATTACATGGGATGGTGTGCTTGAGTAATATGGCATGAAATCATCTGTGTCATGGCATGGAATCGTGGGTGTAAATGGGCTGTATATTGCACAGGATGATATGTTTCAGTGAGATAAACTGATATGGGCTGTTTTACGGCATGAGATAAACTGGTATGGGCGGTGTGATATAGGATGGTGTGGAAAAACGATTGCTGCTGGTTGACTGGAATGGCAAGATGCCTACCATTCATTACCATGATACATTGATGCTACCTGCTCAGAAGCAGGTTGGTGATGTTCTGCCCGCAGGACGTTCAACTGCCCATGCCTCAATATTTTACAAACCGTAACTTAAGCTTCTTTGTCTACATGTGTTGTGTCTGTTGGCATGTCAATCTTACCAACCATTATACTATTACTCACAGCAGCTCGATTACGTTTAATACTCGGGTAAAAGGTATTATGTACAGATGATGCGAGCACCCTACCGCTCATCATTAATGAACTTCACTGTACCGAGGTTGATAGCGGCGACGAAGAAGGAGATACTGGCAAACAGCAGCGGCTCCAACTCCCACACGAGCAAGCCAATGTCGATATTCAGCTGCGCCAGCGCGCCTCGCCCGGTGATCACCTCGCCAATCATGCTCGCCGCAAACCCTAACTGCGCCACGCGCCCCACGAACAACTCGTTTGCCTTGGTAAACCCGAACAGCGGCCCGCTCTCGCTCAGCCCCAGCGCCGCCTTGAAGCTCCCCGGCTTCACCGGCGGACCCGCCGGCGCGTCGTCGTCCACGAATCGCCCGCGTTCGCCCAGCCCGCTGATGGCGCCGAGCACGGTGAATGCGATGAAGAAGCAGTGGCTCAGCTTCCGTGATGGGGATGCCGGTTTCGAGGTTCAGCTGCGGTAGGATTCCCTGGCCAGTTACCGCTTCGCCGAGCAGCAACGTGGCGAATCCAAGCATCGCGACGTGCCCCACGAAGAGCTCATTGGTTTTCGTGAAGCCGACGCCGGATGTACCAAAGATGCCGTCTCCGTGCGCAGCTGCTTCTTAACGGGGGCGGTCTTAGTAGGGACGGCGGCTTTATTGAAGCCGAGGAGGGCGGAGACGCTGAGTCCACGGGGCGCAATGGTGGGAGCTGCTGCTAGGCGATTGGCGGAGAGAGAAGCGCCTTTAACTGCTGTGCTGAAGGAAAGAGCGGCGAGCGATTGGTGTGCGATCAGGGAGGAAGCCATTGTGGTAAGAAGGGTTGTGGTTGCGACGTGAGACGTTTGACGGAGCAACAACACAAATCTTTAGTACCTGTGAAAGCTGAACTGGATGGCTGGAACGATGAAACACTTGTTGGTAGAATTGGTTGAGCGCATCAACTTATTGGTGGTGTTCTGGTAACTCCTGCGGTGGGGGGGGGGGAGGGGGGGGGGGGAGGGGGGGGGAGGAAGGGGGGCGAATGTAAATGATGATCGCTCGGAGGGTGTTTCGGGACTCGATTTCACCACCTCCCGCTACAACCGAAGATGGGAAATTTCGGGCGCGAGGGGGGGGAAGGCTCCGATGGTAAATGAAGGGTTTAGGGTAGGTGCATTTTCGTGATCCAGAAACGGGGGTATCGCAATCGGCGCTAAATGGCAGAAGGGTTAGAAACAAAAACATGGGTGACTCTATCTCGCCAAAAACAAACCAAACACCCACCCGTAGTCTCAATCTCGCGTGATTTTTTTTCCTGATTCTTGCTCGTCTGTTTGGGCTAATCAGTCCAAAAGTCTCTAGTTTTACCGGTAGCATTTCGGTGTTCCCTCCAGCTCATCTCTTCCCTGGCTGTCGCACTTCCCGTGAAAGAGTGGTTGCCGAAAGGCAAGGCGAGGGAGGCAAAATTTGCCTGAGGAGGAAAGTGGGGAGGGTAAATGTGCAGCTTCCAAGGGGTGCACATCCCTAAAGGTAAATGAGCGTTTTGTTGGCATTTACCTTCGTTTTCGTTCAGAGGGCAAATAGATGGCTCGTCACGGTTTTACGGGCTGACCGTCGTGTCGAACCAAAAAACACAGAGAGGGGAAGATTCATATTTCCCCTCGCTCCCCCTCCGCCAGTGCCTAGAGAACACCACCATTTGTTGGCCGAGATGCGAATCGAAGTTTACCGAAATTCATCCGAAGACGGGAGCTCGACACCAGAAAGTCAACAGAAATTCATTTGAAGACGTGGCTGCCTAATCGAAGCGCCACGTTGGATGGTTCGCATTGCCAGGTGCGTGGCATTCTCTCATTGCCATCAATTTAGGCAACCAGCAGCTCATGCGACAAAACTCCTCCACGTTAGATTTCCAAACCAAGGTATGGATCTTGCAAAAAGTTCCCATGGATGATGGAGTGTTGCCAGCTAGTGTACCGTGGCATTCACTGGCATTGACCCACTGTGACCTAGTTTTCTGGACGAATTTTAGGTACACTTGTTTGTGTTCGAAAAGGTGATTATATGGGGTAGTGTAAGGTAAATTCATTTTCCTTAGTTCGCGTCCCTCCTTACCATGTACATGACCATTCCTGCCAACAGTACCCAACAGTGCACCGTTACCACTCGCGACACTCGCCTCGACCACTGTTCCCGCCACTGTTTATGACACGACCCAACCTCACAGTTCGGTTGGTAACCCGCGCTCCGGACCTCCGCCTCGACATTTCCCAACTGTTGCTTAAGATCCGGTCACTTTGAAGACTTACGACGAATTCATTTCTCAACTAAACGCAAATCCGCTCGGTAGGATTGCGCGCTGATCTTAGCTACCACCTCGAAGTTGAATAACGTCAAAAGGTGGACTAAAGAGGGAGAACGACTTGAAAACGTATAGCTGTTGCTTTCACTAGAATAAATGGAGGAAGGACAAACATTAAGCCATAGAATAAGGAGTTGGGGTTTCAAGAGAACCTTCTGAAGGAAGGGCTCTCCAAATGCTAGGGAAGGATAGTAGGAACCTTCCTAGCATTAAAGATGCAACCCTTATCATGCAAAATCCAATCCAATTGGATTTTTCCAAGGTGTTGCAACATTTGCAACCCATGCTAGAAACTTCTAGCCACCCCAATCCAAAAGTCAAAGTTGCCTTCCTAACCACCCAACCAAAGATCCCTTTATAGTCATGTCCCAATAATCGCCCAATTTAGAGAATATCCCAAATCTTGAAAATCTTGTAACTTGGGTGATCTTGGTCGGAATAAGACGATCTTGGTATCGCTGGAAAGCTCTGGATTTCTCCTGCGCGATCAAGCATTTAGACTTGGAGAAAAACACAGAGGTGGTAAAATCCAACAGCCATGCGTAATGAATTATGCTCATGCAAATGACGCAAGCATGAACTTCACGAGCACAAGGCAGGACGTTAGGATGTCATTCACTCATACTGACATGCATACAACAAACCCCCCCTCAGACTAACGGACTGCATGCACACACACTCACACGCATGCAAAGTCATCATCACACACAAACACACATGCCCCCATGACATTGCTGGACACACTAGTGCAACGCCATGCCACACATCTTAGCACACTTCCAATGTGCACTCTCGGGAAGTCTCTTGGTGAGAAAATCTGCCACCTGCTTGCTGACCTTCACATAATTAAGCTAAACAATCCCCTCATTCACCATCAGCCTCACCCAGTGCCACATAACCTTCACGTGCTTGTTTAGCCCATTGAGGATTGGATTAGTGGCTATGGCAATAGCACTCTCGCTGTCAGAGAAAGGTGATGTAGGTCCCTCCTGTTTAGCTTCCATATCCTCCAGCAGCTTTCTTGTCCGACCATGCATACATAGCCACCCACAGATGACTAATCCTCATCCTCCGAGGCCCATGTAGCAACGGTGAAGCACGACAACTTCAAGGTTCCATGCGTGATCCCATCTGCTCCAGGTTGCTTCAGTTGACCTCCAGCTGAAAACTGAACACCAGCAGATGCGGTAGAGCCGAGGTAGCGCACCATGCGCTTTGCCACCTCCAAATGCTCCTCTGTGGACTGCTACACTGTCAACGGGAGTTATTGTTGGCCCCGTCCTCGCTTGGGCGGAGCCGGCTCTGTGGTCGGATGTGCGGGGTGTGCAGCCGACCTGCCGCAGTGGGCGACCACGAAGGCGTCAACTTCCCGGCGCCGACTTTGGGGACGCCGACTTGGTGCAGCCGGCGACCGGAGAGTGGTCGATGACTTAGGTGGTCGACGAGCACGAGGAGAAGAAGTTGGTCGACGTCGAGCACACAAGCCGGCGCCGCCTTGGTGGTTGCCCAGTCGACCAGGTTACCCGGGCGACGGGGATCAGCGGAAGTACGCGACGGTCGCCCAGGTGGTACCTGCGAAGCCGACCTCCGAAGTGGTATCCCGAGGTCGACGTGGCTGGTGGGCGCAGTCGCTGGTCTGTTCTCGGCATGGCGTCTGCGCTGTGCATGTGACGGGGCGTGGCACACCAACCAGCCGTGCGCACCGTTGTCATGCGGGTGCAACGCTGTGCTGCCGACGTACTGCAGCGTTGGCACATCGCAGACTTGCAACGTTGGCGCGCCGCTTCCCTGCAGCGCTGGAGCGGTGCGAGCATTGCTGCGCTGGAACGCGGTCGACCGTGCTGCGCTGGAGGTCGACCTGCATGCTTGCTAGCTCTGATGTAGTCTTGCTTGCCAATGTTGTAACAATCTTTCTGAACAGCTGTGCTAGTAGAACTCTTGCCAAATTTCCCCGTGAATGTGCACGTAGAGTGAACACAAGCATACAACTAAGGAACGAACGCTACGATCACTCCTACCCCGTGCCTTGCCCTTAGTCTAAGCTCCCGTTGCTAGAGTTATCTCCGCATGGTGCGGTGAGCGTGGACGGCACCCGACTTACCTTCTGTCTAGACGACTTAGTTGCACATACCTATCGTGTTTGTAGGCCGGCAGATGCGTGCTAGTCACCATGGTGGGCATAGGTGACGCAGGGGTGGTGGACACCCTGGAGGCACGGCTGGAGGATGCGAGGAGACGCCACCGGGATGGCGAGTATGGGCCTAACCTCCCCTTGGCGGTCGTCGAGGCCGGCATCCACGTTGTGTAGGCAACGGAGCACCCTTCTCGACTGGCCACTCCTCGACCGGTGAACAATGAGGGCAGCGTCGACGTGGGCGTCAACGCCGGTGACCAAGTCGGCAGCAGTGCAGGAGAAACGTCGAGACAGGGAGGGGTGATACACGCCGATGAAGTCGGCGGCGTTCAGGCACGAGGGCTGCAGTCGTCGGCGGCTGCGGGTTCCTCGCGGGGCGACGTCGGAGGACTCGGAGCAGTGTGACGCCAGCGTTGGCGACCCACTAACTACGAGCGGAATATCGCCGAGTTACGGCCACTTCAAGTTCACGCCGGACAGAATTGCCATCAGCCGCCTGCTTGTTGGCCGCCCCGACCTCCTCACGTGGAAGGAGGCTATTGAGCCCCATATGGAGATGGCCGGGCTGATGTGCTTCGCCAACGGCACCGTGGCGACGCCACCAGAGAGCAACCCCGAGCTGCGTGCGGAGTTTCGTGCCGTGCAGCTGTTGACCTTCACGCGGTGCTGCTCGCCGGGCGTGCAGATCGCCTTGAAGTCGTGCTGGTACTACTTGGACGCCAGCCACTAGGCGTGGCACTTCATCGAGTTGATGTACCAGGTCACGGATGACCTGTACATTGGCGAGCTTGAGGAGCAGATGACACATCTGCGGATGGGCGAGCACGAGACGGCGACTGACTACTTCAACCAGGCGCGGCGACTACTCGCCAACATGCGGATGGCCGGGGTGTAGTATTCGACAGTGTCGTACATCATGCAAGTCCTGAAGGGGCTCCGGAGCAGCTACAACCTGATGTAGCGGCTGATGGTGGTGCCGGGTACGAGGGAGTCGCTCAACGAAAACTCACTGACCTCGTTCATCCTCAGGGACGAGGCGATGCAGGAGGCCGAGAGGTCCACGGAGCTCCTGCCGCAGGTGAACTACGCTGCCTCAACGAAGCAAGGTGGTCGAACAGGGCAGCGCGGCCAGCCTGGCAGCGGTGGAAGCGGAGGTGGGAGACCGGCGAAGGATGCCGGCAAGAAGAATTTGGCCAAGGACAGCAGTCGTGGAGGAGGAAGCCGACGTCGGGAGTGCTGGATCTGCGGCAACCCCGACCATCTCTCCTTCGAGTGCCCCGACCGCAGTGACTCCGACGACGACGACGCCAAGGGAGGCCACGGTAGGTCGT